AGACACCCCATTGTCTGAGAAGGTTCTCTGTGTCCCACACCCATTCCCATTCTACAATTGATGATGACCATTTGTTCAGGATGTGATCAACCCAAATGGTGAAGAAACAATATAACTTCACTTCCTTCATCTCTATGATAATTAAGCCATTTTGGGGATGAGCTTATTCTAAAATATACTTTGGAGTGGAATCTGGGTCGAGGCAGACTACAATTTCTTACACGCATTTAAAATGGCAGACGACATTGCAGAGAAGTTCCCTTGAGGTCCAGAAAAATCCACCACTGTTTGAAAAGTCAAGCCCCTTTTCAAGAAAATTGATATGAAAAACAATCATACCCTCTGAATAAACGGTGAGAAGTATTACCTCGGCAATCCAGCGCTCGTTTCCACAACTGTCTTACTTTTGAAGTTGCGGTGAAAAAGACCAGGGGCCTCATTTATAAACGTTGCGTACGCACAAAAGAAGGCGTACGCAGATCTCTACGCAATAATTGGTATTTATAAAAAGCAAACTTGACGGTAAAATGTGCGGTCCTTCAGGCAAGCTCTGACCCAGGCGTACGCACAAAAACGGGTGAAATGAGAAATGGCGACACCGTCGGCAGATGGAAGAAACACATGAAAGTGTGGGAAACTGTAGACCGTTGTGTAAAATAAATGGCAATACTGCCTCTCATAAATAACACGAAGACTTCACAAAGCAAGTCTTACAATTAACAGCCTACACGAACACCCGTTTGATCGATCCGCAACAGAAATGCAAATTAACACATATTTGCAAAAAGAAAAGTGAAATATGTTCTGCAATAATATTGGCATGTTATACAATTCATCCTCATAAATAAGATGGTAAACAGAACGAAATAATGTACAAAACTGATATTCTCGCCAATGTGTCCGTCTGGCGGAGCAGATATAGCTAGATAGTCAGTCAGATAGATAGATAATTAGGGAGAGATAGATAGATAAATAGATAGATGTATTATTTGTCCACTGGGGAAAGTTGTTTTCATAGTAAAGACTTTTTGACGACAAAACACTAATACATGATTACAAACACCTTAGAAATACAGTAATATGCTTTTACCTTTTCTACCAAGCTTATAAAAACTTCTTTCCGCAGAACTTAATTTAAAGCACGTCTATCGTTTCTCCATTTTAATCTAGCGTTTTACTTCACAGAAACTGCTGGACTCGTCGTTGGTTGCTTGGTAACAGACCTGAGAGCTGATTACCGAACTCGATGAAGCGATTTAAGATTTCCTAACTAGAAGATATATTTTTAAGAAAGTCAGGATAAGAATCCTAAATCGACAAAATATTGGCTTCTGTAATACGAATGTGTGAAAAATCCTAAATTAACAGGTCAGATCTCATTTTAAGACTTAAAGTCCCCGTGAACCGGAAGTTGCAAACTTTTCGCCCCCTGATGAAAATTCACAGGGCTGGGAAAAGTAGCCCAGGTACTTTACATTTGTCCGGAGTTCTCCGGCTAGGAAATTCCGGCAAGATGGCGGATTGAACGGTTGGAGAAAATTAGTGCACCTGGGGAAGTTCCTCAATTTGAGTTTTTTATATTACTTACCCTGCTAAACAGCTGGAACTGACTACCTGACCATGCCGAACGAACAAAAAAACAAAAAAGACGATGAAAAAAAAACCCGAACTACGCAATATTCAGACCATGATTATGGCATGGAGGTGGAGACTGCGCCCAACAGTGAAGGGAAAAGAGGCCATGACGAGGTAATTAACTCCCCGCCATTAACTCCATCCAAAGGAGCACATGTGAAGAAAATAGCCAAGCAAAATCCAACTGCGATGGAGGTTTTAGAAGCAATTCAAGCACTTCACTCCAGGTTTGATAGTCAAGACCAAAAGATGGCGGAGCTTGATGTTAAACTGACTCAGAACACTGCGATGATTGCTAATCTTACGAAGTCAATTGAATTCAACGCTGAAGGGGTCAAGGAATGTAAGGACAAGATTTTTACTTTGGAAACCCAAGTGTCTGTTTTACGGAAAGAAGTTGACGAAATCACAGAAAGATCAAAGGAGCAAGACAGATACAGACGACGCTGGAATTTGAGAATAAAGGGAGTCAAAGAGAAGGTAACGGTGGATGAAAACATCAGGCAAGAGGTGATACGACTTCTGGGGGAAATCGCACAAGAATGGTCCCAGAAAATGGAGGAATACGTGGACACTGTACACCGCCTGGGGAGGAAGGAGGATAACAAGACGCGCCAGGTGATTGTGCAGTTCACTAAGCGTCAACATAGAGATGCCATCTGGAGAATGACTAAAAAGTCGCAGGTCTGTGAGGCTGCAGGGATCCGGTTCGCTGAGGATTTGACGAAGGACGATATGCTGGAAAGGGGAAAACTCTGGCCGCAAATTCTGCAAGCAAGAAAAGCGGGTGAGAAGGCATATTACAGGGGACCTTTTGGCTACATAAACGGTCGTCGCATATATGCCAAAGAATAAAAAAAAAAAAATCATCATAGGCATGGAAAGACTTTTGAAAATGATCATTAGAAGGCAGGGTAAGGGTAACGTTACATCCCTATTTGTTTTGAATGTTAGAGGATTACCCATTAGATATATTTCTAAAAGAACTAAAAAGAGATCTTTAATAACATAGTTAGGCGATATATTTTGTTTCTATTGTTACTGCTTTATTGTTACAGCAGTTTTCTTTTTCTTTCTCTCTCCTTTATTTAATTTATTTTTCTATGTTAAATACGAGTTTATTGTTAACTTCTTTGAACACAAGAGGCCTTAGAGATTCAGTGAAGAGGAAAGCAGTATTTTTATTTTGTAAGGGACAAAATGCCCACTGCACTTTCTTACAAGAGACTCACTCCTGTGACGCTGATGCCACCTTCTGGTCAAACCAGTGGGGTGAAAAGATTATCTTCAGTCATGGTTCCAATCGATCTGGCGGTGTAGCTATTTGCTTTAATAAATGTCCAGGGAAAGTAATCACTTTTAAAGCTGATGGATTGGGTCACTGGCTTGCAGTTGTGTTAAATATAGAAGGGATTTTTGTTATTTTAGTAAACATTTATGGCTTTAATGCTAGTAATCAGAACAAAATGCTGTTATCTGAAGTTACGGATGTAGTCACTGAATATACGGAAATATACCATACCGAACTTATTTTGATTGGTGGAGATTTAAATCTGACACCTGATGAATGGCAGGATAGATATCCTTCTAAATACAATACTAACCACTGGAATACTATTCTATGTGATTTCCTAAATTCAAACAATTTAATAGACATTTGGAGGGATAGGAATCCAGAGGTCATTCAATTCTCATGGATTAAACCCAATGGTAGTAGTAAATCCAGAATAGATTTATGGTTAGCAACACCTGAAATTTCTAGCAATGTCTCAAATGTGTCGATTAATAGTGCACCTTTAACTGATCACTGTGTGATAAATCTTGTATTAAATCCAGATAATAGGCCCAAAAAGAAAAAAGATTATTGGAAATTTAATGCAGACCTTCTAAAAGATGAGGAATATATTAAAACTATTAGAAATTTGATAGAGAAAATTAAAAATGATATACATGTAGGCAGTTATAGTAGTAGATGGGAGTACTTTAAGTTTAAGGCAAGGGAGTTTTCGATACAATACAGTAAATCCAAAAATAGCAAACAAAAGCAATATGAGATCCAATTGGTACAGGACATAAATAGATACTGTGATAAAATTCTAATGTCCGATGCGGATAAAAGCACTTTCATTAACCTTCAAGAAAAATTAGATTATTTATATCTTAAAAAAGCTCAGGGTGCTTATGTAAGGTCTCGGGCTAAATGGATAGAAGAAGGGGAGAAAAACACGTCTTATTTTAGTGGATTAGAGAAAAGGAGACAAGAGAGAAAGATAATTAATTCATTAATGATTAATGATACAGAGTGCACAGATCATAAAATAATATCTGAAGAAATTTATAAATTTTACTCCAAACTTTATAGCTCTGAATATTCAAGATACGACTCAGATATTTTCCTTGGTGGTTTGAGGCCGTATATCCCCAAAATAGAATTAGCCTTTAAAGAAATATGTGACTCTGAGATCAGAATGGCAGAATTAGATAAAGCAATTAAGAAAATAGCAGTAGGGAAAGCACCAGGACAAGATGGCCTGACATCCAATTTTTACAAATTCTTTTGGGTTGACCTGAAAGGTTTCTTATTGGAGGCTATAAAGGACATTTTGAGTAATAGGACACCTACACCTACAATGAAACAGGGGCTAATAACTCTCATTCCCAAACAAGGCAAAGACAAAAGGCATATCAATAATCTTCGCCCTATCACCTTATTGAACACTGACTATAAGCTGTTTTCTCATGTGATTGCCGACAGGTTGAGGAATGGTTTGGCTGATGTTATAAGTGATACTCAGTCTGGTTTTCTCAGAGACAGATCTATACATAACAATATAAGATTGGTATTAGATTTGTTAGACTATAAACATTTAATTAAGGATGATGGAATTATTCTTTTTTTGGACTTTTACAAGGCCTTCGACATGGTCGAACATAGATTTATTTTAAAGACTCTGGAGTGTTTTGGGTTTGGGAATAAATTTATTGACATAATCAATATTCTATATACAGACATCAATAGTTCAGTGTCTCTGCCATTTGGAACTTCTAAGCGCTTTGATATAAAGAGAGGCATTCGACAAGGTTGTCCAACCTCACCTTTGTTATTTATCATTGTAACCGAATTACTAGCTATCCATGTTAAAAATAACCTGAACATCCAACCCCTAAATGTCATGGGAAATTCATTGGTAATAAGTCAACTGGCAGATGACACCACACTTTTTTTAAAGAATGCAAGACAAATTCCAGTGGCATTACAGGAGATTTCTTTGTTCTCTAAAGCATCTGGTTTAAAGTTGAATATGGACAAATGTGAAATTGTAACTATTCAAGACCATGACATGATTAATATGTACAACATCCCAGTTAAAAATGAAGTCAGATATTTGGGTATAATAATTTCAAAAGATAAAAAAGTTAGAGAAACATCCAACATAGAAAATATCATTCAGAAAAATAGAACTATTCTTAACAGTTGGCTTCAAAGAGACTTATCTGTTTTTGGACGCATTTTACTTACTAAAATGCAAAGTTTGTCAAGACTTACCTACCCAGCCTACTCACTGGATATACCCGACAAATTAATTAAGAAGATCAATCAAGATAATTTCAATTTTATATGGAAAAATAAATATCATTATATAAATAAAAGCGATACAGTGAAACCTGCCAAAGAAGGGGGGTTAAATGCCATTGACTTTGACCCAATGAATGGTACCATCAAATTAAAATGGTTACAAAATTTTATTATAAAAGGTGATAATTTCTGGTTTGATTTCCCCTTCAAAATCTTCAAAATGTTTGGTGGTATACATTTCTTGTTAAGATGTGACTTCAACATTTCCAAACTACCGATTAAGCTTTCAGCTTTCCATCAACAGGTTCTTCAATACTGGAAACTCATATACAAACATAACTTTACTCCTCACACTGTCCCAATATGGAATAACAGAAGTATATTAATTAAGAGAAAATCTTTTTTCTACGGTGAATGGATGGAAAAGGGTGTCTGGTCGATTGTTCATCTATTAGATAATTATGGTAACTTCTTAACATATGATGTCTTCACCAAGAAATACAATTTGATGTGCTCTGAGAGGCAATTTAAAACTGTAATTCAGGCAATCCCACAAGCCCTGATCACTTTAGTAAAAGGCATGTTAACATACTCTGTGGTTATTCCAAGAGAGCCCACTTTAACCATAGATGCGTATCATTTCTTAGATAAAAATAAATTGAATAATACATTTTTTAGAAATGTTCTCACTTCGATCTGCTTCCCCTCACCTTTCAAGAGAAAACATATCTTCGAGAAATTCACCAGCAGTTGTTTAGTGAAGATAAGAACCAGTTACCTTTCTTTTCCTATTTCACCGAAGGTAAAAGAAGTTCACTTCAAAGTGATGAATGAGATTTATCCATGTAACAACTTCTTGCATCAAAGATTTAATATGGATGTGAATGTTTGTACTTTCTGTAATTCTGACATTGAAACCGCAGAACATCTCTTCTTCTCTTGTAGTGTAACCCAGACTTTCTGGGATGCTTTCCAGTACTGGATCATGTATGATACACAAAATATTCCAAATTTAACATATGAATACATTAAATTTGGACTTCAAATGGAGAACAGAAAAACGGAGTTTGGAGTGAATAATCTGATTTTAATGGCCAAATATTTCATACATAAATGTCGATTTCTAAAAACATCCCCTGTTTTTAATGCCTTTCGAAATGATATAATTCTGCATAAACAATCCCTGAAATGTTGCAAAACAAAAAAAGCCCTAAATTTGCATGAATACTTATGCAAACTTATTCCCTAGTGTCTACTGCTGAGTCTCTTGGTTTCCTTTTTTATTTATTTTGTTTTATTATTATCTTTTTATTCTATTTATTTATTTGTTTGTTTTCTATTCATTTATTTTTATTTGTACAATGTTGTACTCCATGTTCAATTCATGTTGTAAGATTTGACTGAATATGATTGCGATATGCCTTTTTGTATGTTTGATATACGATTCAATAAAAAAAATAAAAAAAATAAAAAAAACTTTACATTTGTCCACCAAATTAGAACTATTTATACATTTCGAGTTTTTATTCAGTGTATGGTTTTATTTAACAAATTCCCTCAGATTTGCGTTTCAACTTTCATTATGCACAGACTGGTCCGAGCAGGTTCAGCAGGTGTGTCTAAAATTACCTAGTCATCCTTGGTTTACATTGTTGACGATGAAATCTAAAAAAAAATAGATATAATAATATTAAAATAAAAACAGTCTTACCGTGCACAAAGGATGCAAACACTGTGAGCACAAAAAACAAACACCTTTTCACCATTCTCTCCGGTGAGTTACGAGGCCATCATCTATTGAGATTGAAGCTTTGACGCTTTCTCTGACGCTTTCTCTTCTTCTTCTATGGTTTAAATGGTGGTTGGCAAACCAACCTAAATGTGCATTGTCCGCCACCTACTGGATTGGAGTATGGAGCTATGAAGTTGAATACGCTTTTTAATAATAATAATTAAAAAATAATAATAATAAAAGTATATCTTTTTTACCAGTTCTGTATCACTTAAAATGTTTAATATTTTCTCGTGTATTATATTATTTATTCCTTCTCCTAATATGTCCTTAATTGAATAGTTGCTTATACCCATATCCTCTAGTGACTTAATTCATTCATTTCTTTCTCTATTGTATGCAATACATTCTTGTAATATATGATTTAGAGTTTCTGGATATCCACATTTATCACAATTCCCACTTTCATGTTTACCTATTTTATGTAGATTATGATTTAATGTTGTAAGCCCAATCCGTAATCTTGTTATTATCACATCCTTTTTCCTATTATTAACACTTATTCTTTCTATCCCCACATTTCTTTGTATGCTATACATATATCGTCCTCTTGTTTGGTGGTCCCAAATCGTCTGCCACCTCTTTTTCACTTCAGTCCCAATCAGCCCCTTAATTTCCGCTTTACTCATCTTTACTAATGTTGATCAGGATCTTTCAAAGACTTCTTTGCCAGTTTAACAGCTTCCTCATTCCCCTTTACTCCAACATGGGCTGGCTGGCACCCACAAAAAACTCACCCTTACTCCTAAGTGTTTTATGCTATAACTTCTGTAATGTTTCATTTAAAATATCTTGTCTTGCTAAAGATTTCCCACTTTCTAAACTTTGCAGAGCTGATTTTGAGTCTGTACATATCACACTTCTATTAGGCTGCTTTTCTTCTATCCATTGTAATGCTAATGATATGGCTATCAGTTCTGTTGTATAAACAAATATATGATCTGTTACTCTTTCTGATAATTTAATATTGTACTGAGGAATACACTGCTGCAGCTGCTCTGTTTTGGGATCTTTTGATCCATCTGTGAATATTTGAGTTATGTTGTTGTATGCTTGATTAATATTTTTGAACGATTACTTTTAGTGGCAAATTTTGTTTCTTCTTGTTTATCTCCTTATGTATGAATATGTCAATTTCTGGCATAGGATATAACCAAGGGGGCTTGACGCTTCCTCGTTCCCTCTTCTTCTTCTTCTTTTTTTTTTTTAAAATGGCGGTTAGCAACTATTTCTCGTTCCCTCTTCGCTCCTCCTCCGCGTGATGAACCAATCAAGCGGCCTTGCGGTCTTTTCCCTTGACTACTTGCATGACGCATTTCCTGCAAGTGGCTGCAAGTGTTTTGATTAGTGATGGGAAACCGAGGCTTTCTGAACCATTTGAGGTTTTCATCAAATTGTGCAAACGTGCATCAGTGACATCTGGTGGTCAGAATTGTTTTCTCCACCATATATAACAAATCACCACAGAGCAGAAAAAGCACGTAACCAAACAAAACTTCGGAAGTCCATGACATACAAGAGTGGGGTCAATTACAGCAAAGCCCGGCTACGGAAAGCCCTAAGTCCTATTGTACAGAATTTGGGTTGTAGTTCCACCAGAGTTCCACTGGGGGCGATCGTCCGAGTGCAGAATGAATGGGAGTCTATGGGGCTAAACAGCTAAATTTGTCTCTTTCACCCGATTGCCGTTGAGAAATCTCAGATTTGATTCTAGGTTGTGCAAGTTCAACATGAGTTATAGGTCGAAAGTTGAATGAACGAGTGCTTATGTCCTTTCGATTTCTTAGAGGTTGAGTTGTTGTTGCCCATAACACGCTAGCATTCTGCTAATGGACGCTGATTGGTCAGTGAAGGACTGATTACGACCAGAGACACCGCTTGTTAGCATTGTGGCGACTGAAGCGGGACCAATGTTAAGGCGGACTTAAAGGGTTAGTTCACCCAAAAATGAAAATTATGTCATTACTGACTCACCCTCATGTCGTTCCAAGCCCGTAAGACCTTCGTTCATCTTCGGGACACAGTTTAAGATATTTTAGATTTAGTCCGAGAGCTTTCTGTCCCTCCATTGGAAATGTATGTACGGTGTACTGTCCTTGTCCAGAAAGGTAATAAAAACATCATCAAAGTAGTCCATGTGACATCAGTGGGTTAGTCAGAAGTTTTTGAAGCAGCGAAAATACATTTTGGTCCAAGAATAACAAAAACTACGACTTTATTCATCATTGTATTGTCTTCCGGTTCTGTTGTCAATCCGCATTCAGTGACGCTACTGACGTAAGACGCTGAATACAATGATGAATAAAGTCTTAGTTTTTGTTATTTTTGGACCAAAATGTATTTTCGATGCTTCAAAAAATTCTAACTAACCCACTGATGTCACATACTTTGATGATGTTTTTATTTCCTTTCTGGACAAGGACAGTAGCCTATACCGTACATACTGTAACGTGTTCAAAATGCTGTTCTGTTACAAATAAGGATGCATTTAATGTTCATGTTTTACTTTATTCGTTTTATGTGATTCGATTGATTCGTTGTCTAGTTTAATATGGAAAGAGGCTCCACCCCTTGTGAGAGTGATGGGGAAATCTGGGGAGGAGGAGGGGAGAAGAGCGCCTCGCTGGTTCAAGTGCGGTTCTCTTATAAGTCGGGTGTGTATGGCGTGGGCTGTGGCCGACAACAGCCTCTAATAAACACCCTTTGTTATCAAAACCGTCTCGTCCTTGCCTGAGAACGTTACAATACATTTTCAATGGAGGGACAGAAAGCTCTAGTAATAAATCTAAAATATCTTAAAGGGGTCATGAACTGGCTTTTTAAATTGTTTAATTGTTGTCTGAGGTCAACTTATGACGTTCGCTTGGTTTTTACATTCAAAAACATCAAAATGAATAGGTAATGTAATAGGCTATTTTCCACCCTAGTTTTGAGCCTAGCTCAAAAACACTGGTTTTTATGGGCGTCTCTCGCATTGAAGACTTGGAAGTAAACGCCCACTGCTGTGAGTGGATAACAGTTTTGCATATTATAATGAGTTTCGTGTAATGCGCGAATCGATGGGCGGGGCTAAACCGTCCGTGTTGAAGTAGGCGTTGATCTTCTTCTGCGGGGGGTGGTGTTTTATCCTCTTTGTCGTCATAGTTCCCCACTTTGAAAAACGAGTCGTTTGCTGAACCTGGTGTCAATAAAAGCTTTTATTGGACTAAAAAGGATGTTTTCAGTTCTGAAACTTACAGGATATTCTTATAATATGATGACCTCTTAGATGTCAAAAGCTCAAGGAAAATTTGATTTCTCAGTTCATCACCCCAGCTGTGTTCCGAAGATGAACGGAGGTCTTACGGGCTTGATAATGTTGGGCTTGGAACGACATGAGGGTGAGTCATTAATGACATCATTTTCATTTTTTGGGTGAACTAACCCTTTAACTCTTCTAACACATGTATTTTACCTGTCAGCTGTGTTGTCGATGCCTTGAAAGAAAAGAAAGTGCAGAGCGCAAAAGCATAGATATAAATACATAGACGCCCTATTGGCCGCTTTGTAACGTTGCTGCAATAGTTTTCTTATTGTGGAAAAAATTATTTTAGATTGACCCGATTTAAGCATTAACAAAGATAACTGATGGATCCTTTATCTATGGTAATAATACTATATGGTACAACTGCAGTGCAATGCAAAATGCAAATAGTAAATATAAGATAAAGTGAGAAGTAATAGTAAATAGTTTAGTCAATAAAATAAACAAACAGTATACAGCAAATAAAATGGTAATGAAAAGGCTATATAAAATATAGGCTATATACACAACCCTGTCTATTTTTTGTTACATTTCAGTTTTATTGATCAGTAATAGCCATTATAACAAAGTAGCCTAAACAAGACAATACATAAAGTAACGATTCAGACAAACAGCATGATACAACGTTAAAATAGCCTAAATATAAAGTTATGAAACTTCACTTTGCCCTCAGCCAAAACGATATTGCCTGGGAACAAATGATAGATTAATGAAACCAAAGACCGCCTGTTACACAAGACGAATTATATCTCATGTAACCACTAGACAAGAAACATCAGCCAGGCAGCCAGCAGCAAACATAAGATGCACTAGCCGAGATAAGGCTGTTCCAGGCGGGGTACATGAGTGCTGAGACCCGCTGATCCCTGGATCTCACAACTCCGACGCCGTCAGAATTTATTTTTAAATAGGCGCCATCTTTATAAATAAACCACAGATTTGAGCTTTAAACAACTACATTGTCGACTGAAAAACTATTCAACTACATTTCGTGACACAATAACAGTAGTATTTTTACATTTTGCGTCAGTCTATGCGCGAAAACACCAAAGTGTCTGAAGGATTGCCGTAAAGCAGGTCTCTGGTCGTACAATGTGTATGACGTCATTGACATTTTAAAAGACTTTTTAAAGCAAATAAGTGACTCTAAAAAATCTAACACCCAG